ACAAGTGTACTTGAATGGCTCCGCGCTGAGCGCCGTGATGGCGTCAGCAGCCTTGAACGCGTGGGCAGACCCGCCCATGCCGATGCCGAGGGGCTCCTCCGTCTTCAAGTCCGAGTAGGTGTCTGTGGACAGCACGGCCTCGATGTTTTTCTTCAGGGAAAGCCAATATGGTGCGTTGTCTGTCTGCGACCAGTCAAGCTTCGCCGTGGCAGTACCGTCGCCGTCGACCCGCACTGCTGGCTTTGCCCGCTTAGCAGCAGGCGCGCCATCACCTCCAGCCGCCTTCGCCACCCTCGGAGCCTTCTTAGTAGGCGCCATGGCCAGCAAACTACTATCTGCAGTCTGAGAGGCTCAGGCTAGGTTTGTGAAGGTATGTGTAGTGCAAATGCGTCCTGAGACGGGGAAACCGCTACTGAAGCATCCAAAGGCCAATGGCTTGCTTCGCTGACGGGCCATCTTGGAGGCCCGATTAAACCTCGATGCCCTTTGTGCCCCCCCATACAGCATTGGAAGGCCCCGAGAACGCCATACCGGAGTCCCGATTGCGAGGCCCATTTGGTCCCCCAAGACGGCCCAAGAAAGCCCCAAGACGGAAAACAGTCGGAACATCAATCGGGGCAATTATCGGGACAACCATTGGGTTAAGACTTGGGGCTGCAGTTGTACCCCAAAAACTTGGGGATGCATCCAGATATTTGCTCGGCTCCGCCAGCCTCCTCCTCCTCCTCCTCCTCCTCCTCCTCCTCCTCCTCCTCCTCCTCCTCCTCCTACTCCTACTCCTGCTCCTGCTCCTACTCCTACTCCTACTCCTCCTCCTTTTCCTGCTCCTCCTCCTCCTACTCCTCCTCCTCCTTCTCCTCCTGTTCCTCCTCCTCCTCCTCCTCCTCCTCCTCCTCCTCCTCCTGTTCCTCTTCCTCCGAGGTCCCCAAGATGGGCGCCTCCTGGGGTAACCTTGGACCCCTATAGGGGCCATTTTAGGCCCTCTTTGGGCCTTCCTGAGTCTTGGGCCTTGGGGGCCTCCGGGAGGGCCGCCTAGACGGACCCCAACAGTATCATACCAGAGGCTCTTGGTATACTGTTGGGGGCCCTACCAGGTCCCTCCTGGAACCCTCCCAGCGACCCTTTCGCAGGAGGAGGAGCACACGGAGGGCAAGCACGCACAGGAGTTTGGAAGAGGAAGGGGGGGGGGGCCAGGACGTAACATGTTTCTCCCCCAGCAGAGACATGTTGGCGGCCGCGACAGCAGGGCCGCCAAAAGGGAAAGGAAATCGAGGAGGAGGAGGAGGAGAGAAGAAAGGAAAGGGGGAGCAGGAGGAGGAGGAGTACAAGAAGGACAAACACGCCCAGGAGTTTGGAAGAGGAAGGATGGGGGACCCAGGCCGTAAAATGTTTCTCCCCCAACAGAAACATGTTGGCGGCCGAGGCAGCAGGGCCGGGAAAAGGGAAAGGAACACAACGAGAAGGAGGAGGAGGAGGAGGAGAGAAGAAAGGAAAGGGGCAGCAGGAGGAGGAGTACAAGGAGGACAAGCACCCCCAGGAGATTGGAAGGGGAATGGGGGAGGCCCAGGGCGTAACATGTCTCTCCCCCGACAGGAACATGTCGGCGGCCGAGACAGCAGGGCCGCCAAAAGGGAAAGGAAAACAAGAAGGAGGAGGAGGAGAAGAAAATAATGGGAAAGCAGGAAGAGGAGTACAAGGAGGACAAGCACGCCCAGAAGTTTGGAAGAGGAAGGGGGGGGGGGGGGGGGCGGGGCGTACCATGTTTCTCCCCAAACAGAAACATGTTGGCGGCCGAAACAGCAGGGCCGGGAAAAGGGAAAGGAGAACGAGAAGGAGAGGAGGAGGAGAAGAACGGAGAGGGGGAGCAGGAGGAGGAGTCCAAGTAGGACAAGCACGCCCAGGAGTTTGGAAGAGGAAGGGGGAGGGCCCCAGGGCGTCACATGTTTCTCCCCTACAGAATCATGTTGACGGCCGCGACAGCAGGAAACGGAACAGCAGAAGGAGGAGGAGGAGAAGACAGTGCAGGCGCAGATCGCATCGCTATTTGAACGCGTACCCTCTTGCCCACTTGCCCCACTTGCTGCACGCGTACCCACTTGCCCCACTTGCCCCACTTGCCCCACTTGCCCCACTTGCCCCGCCTGTCCCACTCGACCCACTTGCTCAGCCAGGCCACGCTCGCACGGACGAGGCAAGTGGGGCAAGTGAGGCAAGTGGGGCAAATGGGATTGAGAGTTAAACTCTCTCCGCGACCGCTTGGTCGAGCTCTGAGCAGCGGGAACCGCCGCCTGCAAACAATCAGTCCCCCGCCCTCTCGGCGGGCCAACCCGCCACGCGGGGACGGGCGCGGAGCGACTGAACGGAGACAAAGACGGGAGGCCCCCTAAGACTCGAGGCAGGCGAAAGAAGCGAGACAGAACGGACATCGATGTCCAAATTGTCTGGGGGCACCTGCTGCCGCTGCGGAAGCGACAGGGGAACAACCGAACGGCGACGAAGACGGGGGGGCCAGGGCCCAAGGCAGGCGATGGAAGCCAGACAAAACGGACATCGATGTCCAAATCGTCCGGGGCACCTGCTGCCGCTGCGGAAGCGAGAGGGGAACATCCGAACGGCGACGAAGAGAGGGGGGCCAGGGCCCGAGGCAGGCGAACGAGGCCAGACAGAACGGACATCGATGTCCAAATTGTCTGGGGGCACTTGCTGCCGCTGCAGAAGCGAGAAGGGAACAACCGAACGGCGACGAAGAGGGGGTGGGGTGGGGCAGGGCCCGAGGCAGGCGAACGAGGCCAGACAGAACGGACATCGATGTCCAAATTGTCCGGGGGCACCCGCTGCCGCCGCGGAAGCGAGGGGGGAGCAACCGACGGGCGACGAAGAGGGGGGGGGGCAGGGCCCGAGGCAAGCGAAAGAGGTCAGACAGAACGGACATCGATGTCCAAATTGTCCGAGGGTATTACCTGCTGCCGCTGCCGAGGCGCAGGGTGGATTACCGAACGGCGACGAAGAAGGGAGGGCTACCACAACGACTACGACTACCACCAGTATTCTTACGATTACAAATACAGCTTCTACAACTCCTACGACTTCGTATCGAACTACTGCTACTAGTAGATCACGAATACGATTATTGGGGACGCCCCGGGAGCCCATGGGATCTCCGAGCGACTGAAAGAACCAACGAACACCGAGAATATGCGGGGGCCTTCGACTCGAAGCAGTTGAAAATCGGCGAAAAATCCGCCAGACAGAACGGACATCGATGTCCAAACTGTCCAGGGGCATGTGCTGTCGCCGCGGGGTCGGGCGCGGAGCGCCTGAGCGGAGATGAACCCGGGAAACCCCCTAGGACCCGAGGCAGGCGAGAGGGGAACAACCGAACGGCGACGAAGAGGGGGGGGGCAGGGCCCGAGGCAGGCGAACGAGGCCAGACAGAACGGACATCGATGTCCAAATTGCGCGGGGGCATCTCCTCGTCGTCCTCCTCCTCCTCCTCCCCCTCCTCCTCCTCCTCCCTCCTCCTCCTCCTCCTCCTCCTTCCTCCTCTCCTCCTCCTCCTCCTCCTCCTCTTTTCCCTCTTCCTCCTTCCCCCCCCCCTCTCCTCCACCCCTCCTCCTCTCCTCCTCCTCCTCCTCCTCCTCCTCCTCCTCCTCCTCCTCCTCCTCCTCCCTCCTCCTCCTCCTCCTCCTCCTCCCCCTCCTCCTCATCCTCCCTCCGTCCCTCCATCCCTCCGTCCCTGCGTCCCTCCGTATCTCTCCCCTCCGTCCCTCCCTCCGTCCTTCCTCCCTCCCCATTCCTCCCCTCCTCCTCCTCGTTCTCCTCCTCCTCCTCCTCTTCTTCCTCTTCTTCCTCCTCCTCCTTCTCCTCCTCCTCCCCCATCCACCTCCTCCTCCTCCTCCTCCTCCTCCTCCTGCTCCTGCTCATCTAAAACATGCATGTGACATCATATGGTTCCTGCGATTCCCACACTGGGGGAGGGCAGGGACCGAGGCAGGCGAGGGAGGCTCAACATTGGCTGGCGGGGACGTGCGAAGCGTGCAAAGTTGGAGAACTGAGCGCGTGGAGTTCGCGAGTCGAAGACGGATCTGTTGCAAAAAAATCGGCCGGTGAACTATTGAGCTGGTTGTCTTATTTTTCGCAGCGCTACTTTTCACCACATAAGTACGCAGCGCTACTTTCTTCCTCGGCGAATTCAAGGGGACCCTATAGTTTCTCCAAGCCCCAGGCTAGCCCCAGAATAATAAGATTGCATCTAGTACTGTTCCAGCACAGTTGAGTTTCTTGGATAAATCCAGGGTAGCCCTCCCCGAGAAGAAATATTTAATCGATTGGGTTGAGCTGTCTTCAGCGCCCCGCCATGGTGCATCCAGTTATGCCCAACTCCTCCAGCCCCCTTCTCCTCCTCCTCCTCCTCCTTCTCCTCCTCTTCGGGACAGCCTTGGTGAAGAGTCCAAGAGGGCTCTAAGAGGGCTCCAAGAGGGGCGCCACTTTGGGCTAACACCAGGGGGGCCCGCTATGCTCAGCTCCTCCCGGGTTCCTCCTCCTCCTCCTGCTCCTCCTCTTTTTTGTAACCCGAATCTGAGCCGCCGGGGAGACAAAAGCCGAATTCTCCGGCCGGTCGGCCTGGCCGCCGGGGAGAGAAAAGCCGAATTCTCCGGCCGGTCGGCCGGGCCGCCGGGGAGACAAACGCCGAATTCTCCGGCCGGTCGGCTGGAGACAACCCTCAGGGCAATCCCAACAGGGCCCAGTGGCAAGCGCCGCGCCGCGGGCGGGCAGATGTCTTGGACGCTGCTTCTGAGACCCCAAACACCCCCTCACTTCTATCCGCGTCTTCGGGGACTACGACATGCAGCGAGGGGGGTGTCGCAGACTCCCCCCCCCTCACCAGAGGGTTCAGCAGAAAGTAACCACATGAGAGACCTTCAGGGCTACAAGTATGTCATTCCTGTCTCTCCGTGGCCATCTGGGCCCAAGGGCGCTCTTGCGCGCCATCCGGCATCATGGATGCCGATTGGGGCTCTGGCGTAGACTCAGACGTCTGCCCCGTTACGCCTGCGAAGCGCCATGCCGCCAGCAGCGCATGTCTCGCAAAGGCCTCTGATTGCGAGCCCTCGGAAGCCCTGACCCCTAAGCCTATCTCAACGCCCGACTGCGACGAGGTCTACTGGCGACGCCACGAGACCACCCTCAAGGAGCAGACGTTCGAGCCGAAGCTGCAACGCCCATGGATTTATGTATCCGGCGACGGTTTCGGATGCTATGCTTGCGGAGCGTGCGGGCTTCAGGACCCGTGGGGCCTCGGCACGGTGCACGCGACGAATTGTCAGCTCCATTGGAAGCGGCACGGGAGTTGTAGGAGGCACGTGGAGGCAGTGACGAGGACTCAACAAGCAGAGGCGGATAGCCGATTGGACCAGACCGGATCAGTGGCACCCGCCCTGGAAGATTTCATGAAGGTGCTACAGGAAACGATTGCCAACGGAGCCACCGACATCTGCGGCATCAAGGGCATCGGAGCTCGCAAGAAGGTGAGGAAGATTCAGTGTTGCCTGGCAGAGGCTAAGCGCAATAGTTATCGTCAGTTCTGGGCCAAGTGTGCGTGCATGACGCTATCTCAGGACAAGCGAGGCACGCGCCTCCTGGCACGGTGGCGCGCGTGCACTCCCGATCTCGAGGTCCGCGCCGGCATAATTGGCCTCGTCAGGGACTTGCCCAACCCCTTCGAGGGCAAGATCGGCGCGGACAGCACGCGCATCGCAACGGTCAAGATGCTGGCGCGCGCCACGTCCACGCGCCCTGCCCCCTACACTGGCGCAGAGACTGGCGCCGCCGACGGGGAGATCGATGCGAAGCCGGACATCGATGAGTTCACGAACTTGTGTTCCATCACCGAAGTCTTTGTGGCGGACGCGGCGGCCGACGAGCAGCGAGTCGGGAAGGATTTGGGTTTCTTCGAAGGCGAGGTCCAGAACGTGGATGCGGAGTATTACGGCGCTGAGGGGCGACATGACATGCAGGCCGTGCTTCCCAACCTCAAGTACGTAGGCAGGGATAGGGCGCACGCGTTGCGGCGTGCCCTTCGCCCTTGGGACTGCGACGATTTCTTTGCGGACTGCAAGGCCAAGTTCATTGACGGCAGGAATGCGATTACGAAGGCAGCCCAGTTCTCCCCGGTACTCAAGAAATGGTTCGTCGAAGCCAACATGCGCAGTGATATGCGCACCCGCATTTCCAATAAGGTTGCGGACTTCGCGTGGGCCAAGCAGCGGTGCGACGGCATCACTCAGCCCCTGGGCAGGTTCGTCATATACATCGAGAGCCTCATTGCAGTCGCAAACCTCACGATCAGCATCAGGCCCAAGGATGCGGCTGCCATTGAGTTCCTGTCAAGCCTAGATAATGAGAGCTACCTCCAGATGGCCATGATGGCGGATGCGACCGACGAACTTTCCAGGAGCGTCCACGCCTTCGACGGGGCGATGCTGGACGAGGTGGAGATACTGCTTGAGGTCGATGAGCGCTGTCACGGGCAGCCCGCCCCAACAATTTCACTTCTTACTCGCTCCATGGATGTGCCCTCGGCCCTACTACCGGGGGAAGGGCGTGGGGGAATGCGGAGCGTAAGCCTTCTTCCTCCTCTCCAGAATCTCCCTCGTCCTCGTAATTCTGTCCGGCGCGCAGGTCCAGAACTTTCAGGCTCGGCTGGAGGCGCTCTTCGTCTCCGGCCACTGTTTCGAGATACCTGGGTACACGTCCTTCGCCGTCAACATGCTCAAGGAGGTTCGCCTTTCCATTGTTGGTAAGACTGTGAAGGAGTTCGGCGGCCTGGCCGCCGTCCCGCCCGAGCTTGCGCAGCGATGCTTGCAGAGAATGGCCGCTTGGGCCGAACTATCCAAAGTCATTGTCCAGTCAGAGTTCCCTGCGTTCGAGCTGTGCTCGTGCTTCGCGGTTTTCGTATTGAAAGCCCGGGCGAACCCACAGGGCCTAACTGAGAGCTGGCGCAGGAGGGCCTTGGAGAAGCTTGCGATGGCGTTCAAGCTGCCTACGTCGAATTCGATTGCGGAGTTCTTCGACATGTACCCTATCGCCCAAAACATTTATTGCACCGAGGGCGTCTCCAACGCGGCGGCGTGGAGTTCGGCTGTGCGCAGGTGTTTCGGGCGACAGCCAGAACGCGTCCGCTCGCGAGGTTTTGCCCCCCGCCCCTCCCATGCAATGCACGCGGGCACCGCAGTGCGCGTGCACCAGGTCACCCGTGCCGCACATTTCCGCACACTGAACACGAGATACGATTTCCCAGCAAGTTAGGCTAGGTAGCCGGCGGGATCCCATGCCGAAACCCAGAATTTTTGAGCAACCAACTTCCAAAAAGGTGTTCATACCGGGCGTCCATGGCGGCGCGCCACCCCACGGGCGCGCTCCGGCCAGTTCTCGTCCGATACCTCGCGTGGGGTATCAGCACTTGCTCGGTCGAGAGAGACTTTGCGAAGACCCTGAAGTTGCGTGGCGGCCAGTGCGAGGACCAGTTCGTTTCTCGGGAGGAGGATGCATTGTGTTTGCAGTCGGACGACGACCCGGCAGCGCACGACAGCATCGTCAAGGCGGCTGCCCGCACCTGGTCCTCCCTCCGTCTACGGGGATGCTCGATCGAGCCCTTCGTTTTCCGTCCGGGCTGGCAAGCCGCAGCGGCGGGGCGTTGGGCAAGGGGAGGCAGCCTTCTTGCGCATCCGGCGATCTGCCACAGATGCCATACTGACCGCCGGCCGCCCGGGTGGGTTTGCAGTTGATGTCGGAGCCATCTTTTTCAACGAGAAGCAAGTGAAAGAGGCGGCGATGCGCATGGGCAAGCTGCAGAAGAGGCGGATCGACGCGTTAAAGGCTGGCCACTTGCAGGACGACGAGTTGGACGAGGCTCTCATCACGGACGCAATCAAGAACATCGAGAAGGACAGGGTGGCCCAGCGCGATGCAGCAGCGGAGAAGCGGAGGAAGCTGCAGATCGTATGCAAGGTTGACTTCGAGCTCACAGGAAAGACTGTATACTTGCAGTCGCATCGCCGGGCCCCCGACAGCATGGAGCAGGTCAATCACCCTCTCGCCGACTTCATCATTTGTGACACCCCTGGTGCGCCTCCACCTGTCTTGCGTTTCGCGGCGTGCTTGCACGGCAGCTCCATCTGCACGCAGGAGTTCTTCCAGGAGACTGGGGGTGTGTGCGTGACCTACGTTCGGGCAATCGCAGTAAAGCGGCACATCCACATCACAGATGCGTTTATGGTTGAGGAGCCTACGCTCGCAGAGCTGTTTCTTGCAGAGGCAGTGTCAAGCCAATGGACCTTGGCAAGTGTGGCAGACTTGATCAGCATAGTGCGTGGCCAGCCGGCCAGGCAGAGACTTGCGCTTGTGTTCGTGGGTGCTGGCGAGGCTGACTCTCCGGACCTCCGTGGTCTGGAGAACAAATTTACAGCCGCATCTTGTTTTGATCGCCCGCTGTTTTGCAAGTTCGACAAAGCAAAATGCCGCATTGGCGCGTGCAGCCTCTGAGGCTGCATAGGAAAGCACAAAACTGGGGAATATGCAGCAGGGGCTGAGGGGCAGCCAGCTGAAAAAGCCTCGGTGCTTCTCGCCGTCCTCGTCCTCCTCTTCCTCGTCCTCGTCCTCCTCGTCCTCCTCGATTGGGCATGCGAACTCAGTGCTCCTTGTCCTCCCCGTTTTCCTCTTCCTGCTCCTTCACACCATCATCCTACTCCCGTCCTCATTTGTGTGCTGCTGCTGCTGCTCTTCCTCCTTCTCCCTCCTCCTACGCGACTGCTGGTTCTCGGGCCAGCCTGGGGCGGACAAATCTTGACCCCCCCACGGAGAAACCAAACGCGGTCCAACATATTTGTACAACTTGCACCCTGCAAGCGCGGGGGGATTCGTTACTTGTCCTCCTCCTTGGAACCTGGCGGACCCGGCGCTATGTCATCGTGCAGGGAGCTATTCACGCGTTGCTGCCTACTTGAGGGGGCTGTCCTGGGGCTGTCCGGGGCGTCCCCAGGGCGCTCCGGAGGCCAAAGGAGGGTCCCAAGCAGGCTCAAGAGCGCCCCAAAGGATCCCTTGAGATGGTATCGCTGGGCGCCTGGTATGATATCGTTGGGGCCCCTCTTGGGCATCAGCGCTTATTCGATCGATTCCTGTTTTTAGCATGGCCAACTTTGGCAACCAATGTCCGAGCACAAACCTTTGTTTCGCCAATGGCTGTCCCGATGTTTGACGCGATGGTTGGCCTTACGTGTAAGCGGTGCAAGCCCCACCAGCTCCATAAGCCCCACACTCACCCAATACGAGATATGATCCTTATATGTTACAGGCCACAGAAGCCATATGAGCCTTGTAAGCCATGAAAGCCCAACAAGCCCTATCAGACCGATCAGCTCTATAACCAACAGAAGCTCAAACATGCGTGCAAACTCTAGGAGTCCTTAGTAAGCCCTACAAGCCAATTTACCATTGTAAATCCTATAAGCCCTATCAGTGCCAGATCGATTGAGCGATCAATGCGCAACCTATGGTTTTGTTTTTCCTTTTTCCTCGAGCCGATGGGGCATTCGACTTCTGTTTCTCTTGCCTTTAAAGGCGGTGGGCGGGGCCGGGCAAATGCACAACCTATAATGACAGTACATGTTTTTACTAGCGAGCTCACGGCACAGCTGATACATGAGCTTGAATGGGCAGAAAGCCAGAGGGAGGAAATTACGTACACAGAAGCTGTTGTGTACGGAATTTCCCCCCCTTCCCGTTTCCATGCATTGTTCGCTGTAACCGGTGCCCCCCCATGCCGATCGAACTGGGCGCCACGCCTCCTCGACGGGCGACCTTAAGGCCACTAGGCTCGCGCATCAGATCCATACCCCTTGAGGCTCGCACGCGCTTTCTCTGGTGAGAGAAAGCTGACACCGTCATCTTTCTCTCACCGCTCGCTGGCGCCAGCGAGCGGTGAGAGGCAGGGCTGGGGCTGCCGCTCACCAGCAAATCCTTGTTTTCGTGGTGAGCGGCAGCCACAGCCCTGCCTCTCACCGCTCGCTGGCGCCAGCGAGCGGTGAGAGGAAGATGACGGTGTCAGTTTTCTCTCACCAAAGATTACCCCCCCCCGCCCTAACGGGTATGGATCTCGACTGCGCCCTAACGGATATGGCTGGGTATGGATCTCACCACTCGCTGGCGCCAGCGAGCGGTGAGACATCCCTGACACCACCATCTTTCTCTCACCGCTCGCTGGCGCCAGCGAGCGGTGAGACATCCCTGACACCGCCATCTTTCTCTCACCGCTCGCTGGCGCCAGCGAGCGGTGAGAGAAAGATGGTGGAGATAGAATATCATCATCATCGCTCGCTGGCGCCGGGGCCCTCCTGGGCCCCGCTCCTGAGGGCCTCCCGATCTCCAGGAGGACCCCAAGAGGCCTCCAAGAGTAGCTCAGTGAGACCCTGCTCAAACTCCGTCTGGCGGAGTTTGAAATGATACCTGCTACAGTGTTCTGGGATTTTCGGGGGCTCCTTGGGGGCCCAGGGCCGCCCGAAGAGGGCCCGAAGAGGGCGCTGGGAGGGTTGTTGATGGGGGCAACGATTTGTTAACATGGGGGAAGGGAGGGGGCGATTTGTTAACGTGGGGGGGGAGGGGGGGCGATTTGTTAACACGGGGGTGGGGATTTGTTCACACGGGGAGGGGGGGGGCGATTTGTTAACATGGGGGGGGGGGATTTGTTAACACGGGGGGGGGGAGGGGACGATTTGTTGACATGAGGGGGGGTACGATTTGTTAACACGGGGGAGGGGACGATTTGTTAACACGGGGGGGTGTCGATTTGTTAACACGGGGGGGGACGATTTGTTAACACGGGGGGGGGACGATTTGTTAACATGGGGGAGGGGAGGTGACCATGTGTTAAGATGAGGGGGTTCAACGATTTATGCAAGGCTCTGTCATGAAACGCTGCGCCGGGAAGCTTCACTCCCTCTGCTAAGAAATATATCTGTCACAGTTTCTGTGAGAGGTAGTAATGGTAACTCCGATGACGATGACGATGGCGATGATGATGCTGCTGATGATGATGATGCTGATGATGACGATGATGATGATGACGACGATGCTGATGACGACGAGGACTCCCAGATGGCCCCATGAAAGCCCCAAGAGGGCCCCGAGATGGCCCCAGGGGGCTCCAATAGGGCCCCAAATGCAGTGAAACTTCGGTCACGCGGGAAAGCGCTCGCTCCAAGGACCCGCCCCTGGGAGGGCCTCCCCCTTCCAAGACGGCTTTCGAGCGTCCCAAGAGGGCCCCAAGAGGGCTCCAAGAGGGCCGCAAGAGAGTTCCAACGCGTGGTGGATGTGGCCTAGCTTCCTAGGCCAGATCAAGTCCAGGCCAAATGATCGCGCCTAGCTCCCGTTCGCAAGCAGGCGGCTCTGTCCAGACAAAGGGATTCGAAAGTTCCGTGTCCCTCACCCGTTGATTTCTCCATGGCAGCGCAATCCGATGAGGCAAGCTAGGACGCCCTCCTCTTGTTGCTTGCAGCGCGCACCTAGTGGGAAAGGAGGATGAGGAGGAGAAGGAGGAGGAGGAGGAGGAGGAGGAGGAGGAGGAGCGGGAGGAGCATGAGAAGCGTCTTGATAGGAACTGGCCTTTCTGGATCCGCGAGAAGCGTATCGATAAGAATCGGCTCTCTCGCTGCTGTGGTAGCATCGATGCGATGGCATCTGAGAGAAATGCTGGTGGCTTTCAGGGCGATCGTCACATTCATCCTACTCTTCCTCGGCCTCGTTGCCCCCCTCCTTGGCCGCCAACGTGTTTCTCTTGCGGGAGATACATGTCATGCCTTGAGGGCGTCCCCCCTCCTCTGGCAAACTCCTGGGCGTGCTTGTCCTCCTTGTGTGCTCCTCCTCCTGCTCCCCCTCTCCTTTCTTCTCCTCCTCCTCCTTCTCGTTTTCCTTTCCCTTTTGGCGGCCCTGCTGTCTCGGTTTCTGTTTGGGGAAAAAATGTTACGCCCCGGGCCCCCCCCTTCCTCTTCCAAACTTCTGGGCGTGCTTGTCCTCCTTGTACTCCTCTTCCTGCTTTCCCTTTCCTTTCTTCTCCTCCTCCTTCTCCTTCTTGTTTCCTTTCCCTTTTGGCGGCCCTGCTGTCTCGGCCGCCGACATGTTCCTGTCGGGGGAGAGACATGTTACGCCCTGTGCCTCCCCCTTCCCCTTCCAATCTCCTGGGGGTGCTTGTCCTCCTTGTACTCCTCCTCCTGCTGCCCCTTTCCTTTCTTCTCTCCTCCTCCTCCTCCTTCTCGTTGTTTTTCTTTCCCTTTTCCCGGCCCTGCTGCCTCGGCCGCCAACATGTTTCTGTTGGGGGAGAAACACTGTACGCCCTGGGTCCCCCATCCGTCCTCTTCCAAACTCCTGGGCGTGCTTGTCCTTTTTGTACTCCTCCTCCTCCTGCTCCCCCGTTCCTTTCTTCTCTCCTCCTCCTCCTCCTCCTCCTCGTTTTCCTTTCCCTTTTGGCGGCCCTGCTGTCGCGGCCGCCAACATGTCTCTGCTGGGGGAGAAACATGTTACGCCCTGGGCCCCCCCTTCCTCTTCCAAACTCCTGTGCGTGCTTGCCCTCCGTGTGCTCCTCCTCCTGCGAAAGGGTCGCTGGGAGGGTTCCAGGAGGGACCTGGGAGGGCCCCCGACAGTATACCAAGGGCCTCTGGTATGATACTGTTGGGGTCAGTCTAGGCGGCCCTCCCGGAGGCCCCCAAGGCTCAAGACTCAGGAAGGCCCAAAGAGGGCCTAAAATGGCCCACATAGGGGTCCAAGGTTACCCCAGGAGGCGCCCATCTTGGGGACCTCGGAGGAGGAAGAGGAGGAGGAGGAGGAGGAGGAGGAGGAGGAACAGGAGGAAAAAAAGGAGGAGGAGGAGTAGGAGGAGGAGGAGGAGGAGGAGGAAAAGGAGGAGGAGTAGGAGTAGGAGTAGGAGTAGGAGCAGGAGCAGGAGGAGGAGGAGGAGGAGGAGGAGGAGGAGGAGGCTGGCGGAGCCGAGCAAATATGTGGATGCATCCCCAAGTTTTTGGGGTACAACTGCGGCCCCAAGTCTTAACCCGATGGTTGTCCCGATAATTGCCCCGATTGATGTTCCGACTGTTTTCCGTCTTGGGGTTTTCTTGGGCCGTCTCGGGGGACCAAATGGGCCTCGCAATCGGGACTCCGGTAGGGCGTTCTCGGGGCCTTCCAATGCTGTATGGGGGGGCACAAAGGGCATCGAGGTTTAATCGGGCCTCCAAGATGGCCCGTAAGCGAAGCAAGCCATTGGCCTTTGGATGCTTCAGTAGCGGTTTCCCCGTCTCAGGACGCATTTGCACTACACATACCTTCACAAACCTAGCCTGAGCCTCTCATACTGCAGATAGTAGTTTGCTGGCCATGGCGCCTAAGAAGGCTCCGAGGGTGGCGAAGGCGGCTGGAGGTGATGGCGCGCCTGCTGCTAAGCGGGCAAGGCCAGCAGTGCGGGTCGACGGCGACGGTACTGCTACGGCGAAGCTTGACTG